GTTGAGTAAACCATAAATCAAAATAAAAAAGGCCACGGATTTCTCCAATTCATCGTGCATGCAAATAAGCCGAGGTAAACGCAATAATGCAGGATTAATAAAAGTCCAGCCTAAGAGAGTTATGAGGGAAATACAGGGAAATAAGTCCGGCGCGCAAAGGGGCATATAGCGCGTGTGTGTGTGTATACGAGCGGCGGGGATACGATGCTCACCTGCCGGCGCCTGGTCCATCTTTTCAACTTCGTCAACGCGTGTCTCCCCTCGATCTTTCGTATCGCCTCCTCGTACCGCCCATTAACGCGGCTTTTCCACCTTTGGATTAACTCCAAGTGCTCATACGCAGCTCGCAATTTTGCGATAAAGCACGAGCGTCAGCGACTAGATGCGCCCAGCGGCATTCGAGCGCGGACGACGTTCCTCCTCGGAAAACCAACTCTAAAGTCTAAACCGGCCCCAAGCCCAAGCCCCGCAAACAGTAAAGAATATACCTTTTTCCTACTATCTGCTTCACTCGCACTCACACTAGCACCTCTCTCACTCTCGCTCGGACTCTCATTCGTCCACTCGCTCTCGCTCTTTCTTTCGCTCCTCCGCCGCAGCTCGTCTCATACGAGCGACAAAGCCTATGTCGCGTGTTATACCGAGTTTATCCGAATTCAGCCGAAGAAGGCGTAGTACATACATCCGTATGTACGGAATAACTCATTGGTAATCGACCGTCAATGCGTTTGCTTCTCCTTACATCGAATTCTGACTAAATATCTCTTTTATTCATATTAGATGATTTTCCTTTAATATGACTCTCTGCAACACGACTCTCCCGCGATTTTTAATTAATCCCCAGCGATCGCTAAAAATAACGTAAAATTCATTGTGCTTGGCTACGCCCTATCAACGGCCTTTAGATGATAATTTGACAATGCAAAAACCATCGATGGCCAATCGTAGACCGCCTTATTTCATAATTTAATATCCAAAAAGCCCCATCTCCTTTACTCGATGCTCGCCACCCTGACCGTCTATCACTCACTCTCTCTCTCTCTCTCTCTCTCTCTCACACTCTCTCACTCTCTCACTCTCTCACTCTCTCACTCTCTCACTCTCACTCTCACTCTCTTTGTCTCTCTATCCATCTATCTATCTCTTTCTCTCTCGATCGATCGATAAAGCATGTGCATGTGCGTGTGCGTTCGATAAAATCTTTGTTTCGATATCTCCGCCTTCTTCGAAAGGACAACGAAAAGCATTCGAAATATTATTCCTCCAGCTCTTAATACCAACGATCCACTCGGTATTCCAAAATCTCAATAAATAATTAACAGCTGAATTTTGCGCCAAAGCGCGTCTTGGGGGGCTTTAAACTTTGGCGCCTCCCGCGTAACGACACGCCAAACGAATCGCGGATGTCGTCATAGAATTCGGCGCTGACGTCATGGCCGTCGGCGTCGCAGCAGCAGCAGCAGCAGCAGCAGCAGCAGCAGCAGCAGTAGTAGTAGCAACGGCGGCAACCTCTGCGCCATCGGCGAGAAAAAATCTAAGCTCCTGTTTACGATCATCTGGTCGGTGGAGCCCTCCCCCTAGCCCCAGCCCCCGGCCGATAAATTATTACATCCCGCGATACATGTACCGCCGCTCGTGGTGTGACTGGACACCCCACGTCCGCGCGCGCGCGCGCACGCATACGCACGCACGCACGCACGCACGCACGCACGCACGAATACACCCACGAGAGAGCGAAACTCGCGGCGGTCGCAAGGAGGTGCTGCTCGGTCGCGTGCCTACGAGAACTTGGAAAAGCCCTCAGTGTCCTGTAAGAAGGCTGTAGTGTGCGCGCGCTCGGTGGTGTCAACTCCAGCTAAACGACAATAAATATATCCTCGGTATCTCGTCCTCGCATCTCGTACATTATTACTACTACTACTACTACTACTCTTGCTGCTAATCCTGCTGCTACTGCTACTGCTAGTGTTACTGTTGCCGCTGCTGCTGTTGTTGGTGGTGCTGGTGGTGCTGGTGATGCTGGTGGTGCTGCTGCTACCTAGGCTATCTACATAGTTACTTGTATTTACATTGGCAGGGGGCTAAAGTGTGGGAAAATAGTCGAGTGTCGGGGAGGCAGCGCGCGTACGAGGTTAAATGTTCGTGAAAATGAAAGCTTCAGCTTGACGTAATTGTTGGGACGGGACGTGTGGCGGCGACGAGCGGCGACGAGCGACGACGAGGAGAAAGTCAACGAGGGACGCGCGTCGGCGTCGCCGTTGTCGAGATGCTTTGGGCTGACAATTGTTGAGGCGCCTCGGAACGACGATCCAGCCGAGCGTAAAAAGCGCCTCCTTAATAGTTATCCTCCTTTCTTCACTGGCTGGTTTTACAAAGTTTTAAAGGTCAGCAGCAATAGCAGCAGCAAGCTCTGCTCTTCCTGGTAATGTAATTGTAGGCATAAGGGGGCCCGCCGATATTCTTGTCCGACTCAGCGCTTGAGTGACAATGGGCCTTGAAACTCTCCGCTTTCACCTTGTGCTTGATTTTTATCTTTCTGATGAGTAAGCAGCTCCAGCCACATCCTCGTTGCGTCCCACTATTTATGTTTTGTTGAAAAACAATGCAGAAAATTTTTCCACTCGTTTGGGAATCGCTGGTGCTAACCTAGTGCTAATGCTAGTCGGCGATAGCTCTTTCTTTCCTCAAGCACTTTACGTTTTAATGAGCGTGTACCATCGTCGACCAACAAAGTTTATCGTGACATAATGCTATTAGCAGCTACACTGGCTTATTTATCACCGCTGTGGTATTCAAACCATTTTTATGTGTCTCTCGCTTTTGGATGATGGATAGTTAAAGGCTAATTGAACGATAATGTATCCGAGATCCACGAAACAGATAAGCTTCAATGGAGGAAATTTGATGGCCTAGAGGATGTGGTCAACTCTACCATTTCATCTAAGATTTCTTGTGCAATAGCGTTGCAAATGATTTGGAGAGATGATTGATTTCTTGTACCGGCTGTTCTAAACGAATGTCAATTTGGTTGGGGAAAAAATTTGTTTGAATTACAAAGCAATGACGCAAATACCATGATTAACTATGGATAAAAATGAAATATAAATTTTAAAAGGCGTAATCGACTTGACTCGTGCTTAGACTTGCATTGGAAATCTCGAATGCTCCATCGCCTTTTATTCGACTTATGCCCTAATTTTGTCCCAAGCCGTCCTTATTTATTCATCGAATAAATTGCCACATCGTAACATTAATAATAAATCAAATTGACATTATAGCACTCTTTTACCTTTACTTATGTTTCGCATCAAATTTACTATTTGTTTTTATTTTCCTCGAGTGGATTAAGCCTGTCAAGATGTATTGCAACAACACTTTATTATTTGTTTATTGCATAATCTCTGTAAAGCACATACTAAGCATTTTTATGATCAACTCTTCGATCGCAATGAAATTACTTGCTCGCTAATTTTTTATACACCTCAGTTATCATCCAGCTCCCTGAACTTTTGTATCAAATTTTCAATAACATTAAAGGTAACCAATACGCCACATTAAATCATTGATTAGATAATAATTTAGGGAACTACTGGTTTATTATTATTATTTATCCAAATTACTTTGTAATCAATTTTACCTGTATTTATTCAATATAATATAATAAGCTTGTCCTTCGTTCCAATACATTCGACTAACTAATTTCCAATAACCACTAATTGCTTTGATGAAATTTTAATTCACAACTGTTGGAATACTACTTGAAGCAAAAAATTAACTTAATTATTATTTTACTATGCATGAACAACATTAATGTATGTCATCTTATTTTTTTCATCTTTCAATATTTGATTTCAGTTAAACTTTCTGTCTGTCTGTCTGTCTGTCTCTCTCTCTCTCTCTCTCTCTCTCTCTGTGTTTATAGACGGTACATAATCGATACAAAAACTTTTGTCTCAAAATGTAGTTTTATCGACTGAATTTAATAATTATAATAATGAAATGTTCCATTTGTCTAAATAGAAGTTTGTCTAAATAGATGTCATTTTTTAATTTAACTAGAAAGTAAATTGAAATTGTTGGTAAATTTTCAATTATTTTCAATCTTTTCTTTTTATATGAATTTGACACAATAGTGTTGGGAGACATGTCATTCCAATAAATAGTTGCACTTAGAATATTGTTATATTTTTAAAATTAATACAATATAATCAAAGAAAATATGCCATTTTTTATTGTCAATTAGAAAATAAATATAAAAATTGTGTATTCATACATAACTATTGCAGAAACGAATAATTGAAATTGAAGGAGATATTTTAATAGGAAAAAAATGTTAGTTAATAATAATACGAGTTAATAGGCTTATGATTTTTCGTGTATAAAAAGTTCTGGTTTTTTAAAAAATCTCCGTCAATGTATATCGAATGTTTACAATTTCTATTTTACGTATACAAGCGAGAACCTCATCTTAAAATCCTTATTTAGAGAGTGAGAGTTAGAGAAGGAAAAAAGATTTCAACTTATAAATAGAAATATAAACTGAAGTGAAAATCGCTTCGTCGATAACACAGGATAAATCGATCGATTAAAAAAGCCCGTCAAATTAAGCAGGCCCTTGCGCTTATGCAAAAAATTGTTATCAGAGATAAGAAAAATGTGATGAGACCGTTAGAGGGAACGTAATAATAGCCAATTCTCTAGTTTCTCTAGTTTCTCTAGTTTCTCTAGTTTCGTTCACTTCAATAAAGTAAGCTATAAAGCGCAGGCAAAAAAAGCGCCAAATCAAATGGTTTATGGTTTGAGAGGCCGGAAGATGTGTTAAGCAAGCTTTATTGGCCATTTTGGTACATTTTAAGGATAAAAATGTTAATGTCGACGTCGCTTCTAACGTTCGATTAACGTTCCAGATAGATTCACTGTGGAGTTGGACGTCACCCCCGCTACGTCCCCAAGTAGCCGGGGTGACTCGAGGGGCGTCGGAGAGCGCGGATATCGGAGCCCAGCCCTCCCAGAAGATGGCTGAAATGGTCGTTGATCGCCCCCATTCACCAGCACGCCTCAGTCACACGTCCGAGAAGCATCCGCGGGCCACGCTGACGGAGCTCACCGTGCTGAGGAGGCACAGGGAGCTCTGCGACGTCGTCCTCAACGTCGGCTCGAGGAAGATATTCGCCCATCGTGTCATACTCTCGGCATGTAGTCCCTATTTCAGGTACGGATGCGACTATGGACGATAGGAGCCTTAAGGATATTTAACATCGGCCAATCGCTCTTTTGCGTGGCGGCGTTCGTTGCGAACGCAACGGCGAGGCTTTTTTTTCTTTCTTTCTTTCTTTCTTTCTTTCTTTCTTTCTTTCTTTCTTTCTTTCTTTCTTTCTTTCTTTCTTTCTTTCTTTCTTTCTTTCTTTCTTTCTTTCTTTCTTTCTTTCTTTCTTTCTTTCTTTCTTTCTTTCTTTCTTTCTTTCTTTCTTTCTTTCTTTCTTTCTTTCTTTCTTTCTTTCTTTCTTTCTTTCTTTCTTTCTTTCTTTCTTTCTTTCTTTCTTTCTTTCTTTCTTTCTTTCTTTCTTTCTTTCTTTCTTTCTTTCTTTCTTTCTTTCTTTCTTTCTTTCTTTCTTTCTTTCTTTCTTTCTTTCTTTCTTTCTTTCTTTCTTTCTTTCTTTCTTTCTTTCTTTCTTTCTTTCTTTCTTTCTTTCTTTCTTTCTTTCTTTCTTTCTTTCTTTCTTTCTTTCTTTCTTTCTTTCTTTCTTTCTTTCTTTCTTTCTTTCTTTCTTTCTTTCTTTCTTTCTTTCTTTCTTTCTTTCTTTCTTTCTTTCTTTCTTTCTTTCTTTCTTTCTTTCTTTCTTTCTTTCTTTCTTTCTTTCTTTCTTTACCGGAATATTTTCGATACTTTGAATTACACGGCGATTATCATTGCTTTATCAACATCAAACATTAACGCGGAGGATAAATTTTCGTCGATTATAATGACAACGAGTACTTCACGTGTATCGCTGAATAACAATATAAGCCTATTGGAAATTTAGTCGTGATCGCATAATTTGGCTAATAATTTTCTTATTTCATTTTTATTATTTAATGGTAATTTTAGTAATGGCATGTACACGTGGTGCGATGAATTTGGAAAATTAGGTGCTTAAAAGTTACCAAGTTCTGTAAACCGTTGACGTGCTTACAACGACTTTTTCTAAGACATATTATTATTGTCAATTTTTTAATACAAAATCGGTGGATGAAATTGTGGAAAAGAAATTTTCATAGGCCACTGTAGTTCTTATAGTTGTTGTAGTTTCTTAATTATAGAGAAATTAATATGAATTTTCTTAATTAACTTATTAGTTTGTCAATTTCATTTGCAGTTTTTCACTGCACAAGGCCCAATTAATTTCAAATTAAATGTGCACAGGATATAAAAAATTTTGCTTTTGACAATACAATTGCGTTCGCCGACGATTATAAAATAGCTGACACGGTTTAATTAATTCCTTTCGAATGTTACGAATCATAAAATCGCTTGGCAAGCAATCGATCGACTATCGATAATAAACGTAAATGCGACGGAGAATGCCCGACTTTGCCAACGAATGAAACAGCCGAGAATACGCGCGGCCGAACTTTCGTAAAATTTTGTAAAATTGGCGATTCTCGTTTCCAGAGCCATGTTCACGGGGGAATTGGCCGAGTCGCGTCAGACGGAGGTGACCATCCGTGACATCGATGAGATGGCGATGGAGTTGCTGATCGACTTTTGCTACACGTCGCATATAATCGTCGAGGAGGCGAATGTGCAGACCCTCCTGCCAGCAGCCTGTCTTCTCCAATTAACCGAAATCCAGGATATCTGCTGCGAGTTCCTGAAGCGTCAGCTCGACCCCTCGAATTGCCTAGGGATCAGGGCCTTCGCCGACACGCACTCCTGTCGCGAGCTCTTGCGAATCGCCGACAAGTTCACCCAGCACAACTTTCAGGAGGTGACTTTAACGCCGCTGAGCTTAGTAGTCGCTCGATCATACACTGGTTTTTCAATCCCCGACCTTGGCAATTGCCATCACATCGACGGCCCGGCCAACAATTATGTTAAACACTTTGTTTAAGAAAATATTGCATACTATGCGAATACTGCTGTGTATTCATAAAGCTTTTCTTTGTATTTTGTGCAATCTCATACCAAACGAAAACACTTGGTTTTTTTTTTAATGAGTTTCATTATTACGTTATGTTTCCAATGTGTTTTTAAATTTTAAATTGCATCTCATCAGCTAATTGTTACTTTGTAAAACATTTCGGTTAATTTACGCTTATCGGTAACGACCTGCCAAGTTATTTAACTGACAAAATTGTTAAACCAAACGTAAAATTATATTTGTTGTAGTGGATGGGGCTAGGGAGGGGGAGTGGACACACGTACACACGCGCGCGCGCGCACACACATATATATATATATATATATATATATATATATATATATGTACATGTACACATGTTGAAAACAAGAGATGGATATTTGTAAAATGATAAAAAGTTTTATTAATTATTCATTACATATAAATGTAGTCCAAATTAAAACTATAAATTATTTATTAATATCGACATCATATTTACATGATTTAAAAAATTACATTAGCAGCTATACTTCATTTTCATCCAATATTTATTAAGTTAAACGCGAAAAGTTTTCAATCAATTATTCAACACAGTCAATTAAAAATTCTAATGATTACTAGCTATGAGTAATTTCTATAAATTTGAATTACGTTTAATAATGTTAATGTTGGGAGGTTTTTGATAAAGGCATTTGTATAATAAATTCATTATTTTTTACTTTCTCTCCCTCTCTCTCTTTCTCTCTCTCTCAATATATATATATATATATATATATATATATATATATGTAATCACGAATATTTAATTTCGAGAAATTTTAAATTTATAAAAATTCTAAACGCATTTGGCAGAGTCAGATAATAATTTTGAGTCAACAATTATTTTGAACCTCGCGATTCTATAAAATATTAATGTAGCGAATAGCTTAATGCATTCGCTCATCAAAAATAAGGATATAAGTATACGCGCGGCTGTCATTTCGTACGCTTAAATGCTTATAAAAGCACGCGAAGTACAGCAGCAATAAATTTACGTAAAGCCTTTAATAATAGCTCTCGACCCGGTGCATAAAAGCGACGGCGGCCAACTTTCGATTAATACCGAACATTAAGTATATTCAAAATTATTGAAAATACATGGCGCGCTACTCCTAAACTTGCGTTAAAATCAATTTCGAGCTCACTTTGATAATCGTGTTAGTCGAATGTGTAGAGGTTAATAGTTGCTTAATGGCTACTATTATAGTCGTGTCGAGGCGATTGAAATGACAGGCAGAGTGGATTTTCAGTACAAACCCAAATCCGCTTGTCCATTTTTACAATTAGTAATAATAATAATAATTAACCGGCAAACGAATTTATCAGCTGCGCGACGAGCCTGACGGTTCATAAACGATTGTAGGTGATGGACAGCGAGGAGTTCCTCTTACTACCTGTCGGCCAACTCATCGACATTATTTCCTCGGACGAACTCAACGTGCGCACAGAGGAGCTGGTATTCAACGCGATGATGAATTGGATCAAGTACAACTTGAGCGAGCGACGGCAGCATCTCGCCCAGGTTCTCCAGCACGTGCGACTGCCCCTCCTTAGTCCGAAGTTTCTCGTGGGCACCGTCGGCTCGGATCTTCTTGTGCGCTCGGACGACACCTGCCGAGACCTCGTCGACGAAGCCAAGAATTACCTGCTCTTACCGCAGGAGAGGCCGCTCATGCAGGGTCCGAGGACTCGGCCGAGGAAGCCGACTAAGCGAGGAGAGGTACGTAGCTTCCTCGTTTCGCTCGATTATCCCTCGATTATAGATGATCGATGTGGCCGATGGAAGGACGATTGCCCAGACGTTCAACGACCACGTCCGCCGTAGTCCCGATTTTCGAAAGCAGAAATCGAACGAACGCAAAATAATCGAGGCATCGTCGTTATCACCATCATACAGTACTTCGTCACTAAGAATGTCGAAAGAGATTCGCCGCGGAAGAGATGAATGATGGACTCGATGATTTCGCAGGTGCTGTTCGCAGTGGGTGGCTGGTGTTCGGGCGACGCGATCGCAAGCGTGGAAAGATTCGATCCAAATACCGTCGACTGGAAGATGGTTGCGCCCATGAGCAAAAGGAGGTGCGGCGTCGGCGTGGCAGTGCTGAACGACCTGCTGTACGCAGTCGGCGGCCACGACGGGCAGAGTTACCTTAACAGCATCGAGAGGTACGATCCTCAGACGAATCAGTGGTCCTGCGATGTGGCACCCACGACGTCCTGCAGAACGAGCGTCGGAGTCGCTGTCCTCGACGAGCTGTTATATGCGGTGGGAGGCCAGGATGGCGTGCAATGTCTCAACCACGTTGAAAGGTCAGGCGAATTTCCTCATTGCCTCATTGCCAATCGACCTGTAGTAAATGGTGCCGGATAGTGGCACAGGAGGTGGATGAGGAAGAGGGTCACGATGGAATGAAAACGCGTGTCGTTGTAGGTACGATCCGAAGGAAAACAAGTGGTCGAAGGTATCGCCGATGGCGACGCGACGACTGGGTGTGGCCGTGGCCGTGCTCGGAGGTTATTTATACGCTATCGGCGGGTCCGATGGCCAGTCTCCACTTAACACGGTCGAACGTTACGACCCGAGGCAGAACAAGTGGTCCCAGGTGTCCCCGATGTCGACAAGGCGCAAACACCTGGGCTGCGCAGTATTTAATAATCTCATCTACGCGGTCGGCGGTAGGGACGACTGCATGGAGCTGTCTAGCGCCGAACGTTACAATCCCCACACGAATTCTTGGAGCCCAATTGTCGCTATGACCTCCAGACGAAGCGGGGTAAGTCGAGAGCCTCGATTATACTTGCTGATCGAGACCTTATTGCCGAAAAGTTGGACTTGTTTCATTTACAGTTTCTCATTCGCTTTTATTACCACGCCAAAGCCCGGATTCGAATAATTAAATGACGAATTCTTGGCGCATCGTCTCTATACTAATCCTATCAATTTTATTAATACCAGTGCCGACTAATTGCTTTAAAATCTCTTGTACCGCGTGCAGCAATTCGTTGCGAATCCTTCACCTCCATTAGCCTCCCGAAGCCTCCTCATTTTACACGAAATGCAATAGAATAAGTAGAGCGACGAAAGCTTACAAGACTTAAGAAACTACGAGGCTAGCAATTAACTGAGAGAAGCCTAACGAGTTTCTTTTACTATTCAAAATCCATTAGGTTTTAAAGATTTACACCAAATAATATTCCGCTAAACATTCAATACAACAGGCGAATGATGAAATTTTAACGATCTCATTTATTTGGATGATGTAAAATCGGATATTTTCTCACTTGGATCGTTAAAGATAAACTTATACAAATTAACGAACAATGATCATTAAAAAAAAAAAAAAAAAAAAAAAAAAAAAAAAAAACCCCAAAATCCCTCACTCGACATAATTGTCCCAGTGGCTGTAAAATAAAAGCCAGTCCTAGTAGTATCCCCAGTGGTATCATACAAGTAGCCATAAGTGAATTTGTATAAAAAAAAAAAAAAAAAAAAAAAAAAAAAAAAAAAACTGCGTGTAATAATAACTGCGTTGCAGGTGGGCTTAGCGGTTGTGAACGGCCAATTGTACGCGGTGGGCGGCTTCGACGGCACGGCCTACCTCAAGACGATCGAGGTCTACGACCCGGAGCAGAATCAGTGGCGGCTCTGTGGCTGCATGAACTATCGTCGCCTCGGCGGTGGCGTTGGCGTGATGCGCGCACCCCAGACGGAGAACTACATTTGGTAGCTCAGGCCCCCCACTTCAGCCACGACGATGGCTGAATGCACGACGCCTCTGACAACGCCGGTAACCCCAGTGACACCCGTGACGCCACCAGCGCCCATATCCGCACCTCATCAAGCGAACAATTCCAATACGAATACGAGGAAACGATATCGACGCTCCATGAGCATCATTTAATAGTGAATACCACGTGCACCTTCTTTCCGCAGCATCGACATCTTATTCTTCCCATGCCCCCCCCCCCTCTACTCCACACTGATCACGGACCTTCCGCCCGACCACACGACGAGCACTCGCGAATTCGCGCGCGCACGAGTACGTGCCGACGCGACGCCACATACGCTCGAGGACATGGAGTCTGTCGGAATTGCAAGCGAGCATCTGCGATAGAGCAGTTGGTTTATATGAAAGTCGTATCTCTTATTCATTACGAACACATTAACTTCGTATTACTATTCGTTGTTCTTTGACAATCATTTACTTAATTCAGACGGCTAAATGGAAAATGAGCATACGCTATCGAATAAATGAATGTGATTGATTTTATTTCAACTTTTTTTTTTTTTTTTAATTTTTAATTTTTAATTTTTAATATTTTATGTGTACTTTTTGACGCTTATGATTTTCTTATTAAAGAAGCAAACAAAATGAAAAATTTTGTTTATTATGTAATTTTCACAGTACAAGCCGATGTTAACTTAATTATTAATATCTAGATTGTCGGTTAAGTGGTTGTGTAAAATTAAATTACTCGCAGTACAAATTGTTGAAAGTAAGAGAAGAGCCGCTATGTAGATCAATTTATTATACAAACAAAAACAAAATTCATCCTTCTAAGCGATTGTAAAAATTTATTATTATGTTTATTCTCGTCATGTACAAATCAATTGCTCTTTGATTTGTACTCTTAGACCATTTTTCTTTTTCATTTTATTTGTCATTTCCATATCACATCATAATCAAATTGTTATTTAATGTTATTTTTTTCTTCTTGTATTTAAAAGGCTAATTAATTCAAATACTCGAAAGGTCAAAAAATATTAAAACATTTTCCTACAAATAGATTTGAAAGATTAAAAAATTAAGTATTAATAATAATTAATCCAATGGTAACATTCTTGGTCTTGAATCTCTCTTATTAATCTTAATTTTATTTATTTGAATTTCTTTTTATATATGTATATATATATATAACACATCGATAATTTTGTGTTACCTTAACATTATTCGCATAAGTATTATTCTAAAAAAAAATTATTTGTTAGTATTTTATAAACACGTATAGTGTACAATACTTAATTTGGTTTAACGCTCTTAAGTATTCGAGATGTTCCTGTATCATTTATAAAACTAAACTTAATATAAACGTTTAAAAAAAAATGTATTTACATATAATGACAAATATTTTAGAAACAAACGTACAAAGAAACATAGTGATGTTACATTTATAACTATATTATAAACGAGTTATTCGTGATCGCAAATACAAATGTCATAATTTCTCCAATTTCAGGTTCGCGATAAAATATTTTGCAACTGTGCTTTGAGACTTAAAAAAAAAACTAATACAATACTAAATTAATATGACGTCATTTTTTATGTGAAGAATTTGTAGGATCGTGACAGTTTATGCGTTCATACGTACATTTATAGTATTACATACTTTTTAATATCTCGCAAATTACATGTTTAATCTCATAAAGTTATAATTTTAATGTCCATTATTAAAAAAGAAAAGAAGGATCGAAGCTAATGAAATAAAATAATAGTCGGAAATAATAACGTTTAATATTACTGTTTATAATGACAATTATAAAATTGTTTTATTTTTTTAGTTATTTTAAAGTGGGGAGGTAATTATAGTACTTCAGAATGTTTCTGTTGGATTAAATAATATTATTTATCATTTATATTATTGTAATTTCATTGAGATTTAATTATGAGACAATTATCCCTTTTGTTGTTCGTTTATACATTCACGGTAAAGTAATAAAGTGTAGGTAAGCGTATTGTACAAGTACCCAATGGTCTTTCAAATAGACACATCCATATCCTACACATGTAACAATTTGCTAATTTAAATTATATTTTAAACGCTTCCATCTCTCTGTCTCTCTCTCTCTCTCGCTCACTCACTCACTCACTCACTCACTCACTCACTCTTTTATCTTACCTTCCATCACTTTTCAGTCTAGTGCATTGAATCAAAAAACTATCTGGAAGTTGCACCTACAGTTATTTCAATCCAGATATTTAATGATTCAATTTATCAGCAAAGGCGTTACTGAGATTCTGAGCACATCACTGTCAATAATCAGAGGCAATGTTTAATTAATAATTTAAAAGACTTATGAAAATGAAACAAGGTAGTTATAACCAAGCAAATTAAATTCATCAATGAATGAAGTTAAAGATGACTTAAGCTTTAAGTGAAGGGTAATCTCATGCCCGAAATCAGGGACTATTTTATTATAAGTGAATTTATGGACACTGGAGCTAAATTTAAACAAATACAACCTTACAAATTTTACTTATTATTTCAATTATACTGTGACAATGTTATCTTCAGCTACTCGTGCGAGAATGAAACTTTATATGCATAAAAGTTTTATTCTATAGACAATGACTCATAATCATTTACATAAATTCAGTTTATAAATTATTAATTTTTCTCTTAACTTCGCCTGCCATAGATGTTTTTATTAAAAAATGTGCATTTTATTTGCTGTTTATAAATATTTAAACAGAAAAATTAATATATATATATATATATCAAATAGGCATGACAATTATTTAATAAATATATATTCTACAAATATTAAAATTGTTTATAGTTTTAAGGTGCAAAACTATGTTTGTCAACCAGCTTCGATCATTTGTAAATATATAGTATTTCATCAATAAAGTTGTCGCTACATTCAGCCTGCATATTAGAAGAATTTTTTAAACAAACAAAATATATATTGTATAGTTCCATATAAGATCATAATCTTGTAATTAACAGCTTAATTAAATTATTGTAATTTACATAACTATGTAATGCCAAACTCTTGCTTCGTAACGTGACCATCTATGTGTATTAATACAGTAATTTGAAAATTTAAGATTTTCTGTGTCCATTCGTTCAATTGTTCATTCAAATCAATTTTCTTGTAACGAAAAAATAACAACGCTTGTATTATTAAGATTCAATTTCTAAAATTTAATAAGTTTAAACTTTCAAGTGAACAATGAACATAGGCAACAAAGGCCGTCTTTATACGGAAACGCAAACAAACATTGGCCATTATTATTTATGCGCGTTATTATAAAATAAATATGACATGTAGATTGACAAAAAGCATACAAAGATGCACTCAGATATATAGTTGTCCTTGTTAAGGAAGTTAAGGAAGTATATACCGGAAAATTGTCACAAAATACACGAGGACTGAAAATACTGAGAGGACGAAATATGCGCGCAAGTAACACTTTTTTAAGTTTGTAATGATAACTATGATTGTACATGGATAATTAATTTTGTAAATACAGGAAAAAATCTGTCGAAAGATTTATGAAAATATATTGTTAAAATTGACGCAGCCAAATATAATATTTATTAATTATTTACCCACTTGTACATAATATACTAATTGAATTATTGTGCAACTATGTTAATATAAAAATAAACGATATAAATGAAAACAATTTATGATAACAATTTAAATAACATACTTATTCATTATGAATTGAAATTATAAAGATTTAATAAATTAGTTCATTATATTATTTTATTACTATATATGAAGAAATTTTAAAAGCGTGTCTTATTACATATTACGTATTTAAATTCCTCATTCTACCAAGCCACATTATACGCCTATAATTATTTATATTTATATTAAGCATAAATATAATTGCATTTGAAATTTGTGTATTATATGTATTTAAGTTTAAAACTGTAAGATAATATAATTTAAATATAATATATACAAATTGCTTTATAAGTATAAATAGACATTTCATTTTTTATCAACTGCATTAATACAACTATATTAATAAAATTAATGGAGGCTTTTACCCCCATTGGTTATTTCCTTCAAGGTAATATAAAATCTAATAATCAGTACACTACATATCAATTACATATACTATATCATATATGTAACGATATTATAATGTAACTGTGACGCAATTTAATGACCAAAAAAAGCTGTGGCCATTATGAAATATGTAAAATATTAAATTATCAATAAAACGTATATTTATAAGAATATATTAATATAAATTTATATAAAATATATAGCTTAATAGTATAGTTTACAGTTTCAGAATTGTCAATTATCAGTGCATGACAAGACATCATTGATCATATAAAAACGAATCAAACATAATAAATAGCAACTAATAATCAAAATTTACATCACATTTATAACATAAAATTTCGCATAAAACTATTTGCTTCTTATCAAACTAATTTTATAAAAATTAAAAAGAAATATATATGTAAAAGAATCAACGAGATTATAATATTATTGTTCTTTTAATTTCTATTAAATATCAAAAAGTTATATACTTACTTTTATTCGTAAGATATAAATATATTACTCTTCAAATAAATATAAAAAATATTTAAATATATCAATTAATAGTATGGATACTTGATAAAAAAAGAATTAAATATAGATAAATATATATATATATATATATATATATATATATATATTTTTTTTTTGAACAATTTTAATATACAGAAATGTAAATGGAATAAAATAAAATACAAATTCCGAAATAAAATTGATTAATTTCATTAAGAAAGACCGATTAAATAACAATTCTAATATAAATTTAATACATAATCGCAATATCGGTATTATTAATAAAAACTGGTACAACAATTAGAAATACAGTTGCAATGTGATAAAACGTTAAGTAAAATATTAAATATATCTTCAACCTAACTTTCAATATTTATCTTAAAACTTTATAAAATAAAATAAAGAGATAAAATTTTTAACACATCATTGCAGTCCAAAATAAATATACGCATTAGAACAAGTGTCTCCTCACTCTTGTTAACTCGTGTCGGACGGGATATCGAATTTCTGCAAGATTTCATATCATTAAAGTAACGTCATTTAAATACGAAGCTTGGAACAAAATTTTACTAAAGCAGCGAATTTGAATTAGAAAAGTTAACTCTATTGACAACATATCTGCAGTTTGCTTACCCAACAATGACGATCGACGGTAAAAAACAAAAAAAAAAAAACAAAACAAAAATCATTCCAAATCGATCGATGACTGTAAAATAAGTGGCGTCTACCTGTACGAATGTGTTTATCTACAGATGTACTGTGCAATCTCCAACTAATATTACTAATGAAATTCTTGAAGGGCTTATTAAATATATGAAATAGATAATAAACTGTGTACATATGTGTGTGTGTGTGTGTGTGTGTGTGTGTGTGTGTGTGTGTGCGCGCGCGCGTGTTGAGAATCATACTCTCCCTAAATCTATTTTAATTTCTCATTTCTCATTAACATTGTGATAATTATTGTCGCTTGTCCGTCGGCTGCACAGGATTCAAAAACTATTTTTAGTTAATTAAGAAATTTATTACTTCATAAAAATTTATGTATTATTTCTTTTTTTTTTTTTTTTTTTTTTTTTTTAAATATTAAATGATATAAAATTCACAGGCATTAAATTTAAACAATATGATAGTTTAAGAACTTGGAAAGATGATGCACATAGAAATTTTAAGTTCATAAGTTGGAAGAATTTAATATAAACAAAAAAAAAAAAAATCTTGTTCTTCGAACTTTAAACGAGAATTACATCCACTATTGAAGTATATTATTCTGCATTATATCGTGTATTAAATTTATTAATTTTTTTCATATATATATATACAAAAATCTTACAAGTAATTTTTTATTGGCATTACAAATAACTTTATAAAAAAAAATTTAATACAAAGCAATGACAGTGTTTGTAATAATTAAATATAGTTTTTCATATTGAATTATCTTTGTGACTTATAGAAATATGTAATGTCATAGAAAAAATATCTATGACATTGTACAAGAAAGATCATATATATGATTATTAATTATCTTATATATGCATTATTATTAAGACTAATATAATATAAGTCAAAGTCACATAAATCTTTTATCGCTAAATATAATTCGCATGCGGTAACATTGCAAATTATTTTCCTAAAGTTTAATGCATAATACTCTTATAAATAATGTTATGTAAATGTTAAATAAATGTTTAAAATCAAATATATACCGTTTTGATTTAGCTCGCGTTAATTTAACGAAATTTACTATTAACATACTATTATATCTATTGTGTTGTTTCTATAAATCTGTTAGATGGATTATATGGACATTTAACTTAATTGTAATCTTATACAATTGTTATTGTTGTCCTGAGTATTGCAATCGTTATCCTAACTAATGATTATTTTTAATATCAATTTATAGTTTAATAAAATAAATATACAACTTCAATGAACATAATATATAGTATATTTAAGATTGCAAAACTGTAAATACCATCACAGTAAATTTAAATATAATTGTTATAACAAGTATAAAAAACAAAAAACCATTTTTTATCCGAGATAATTTTTATGATTGTTAGAAAATTATTATAAATTAACGTAAGTCCTGCTATAATAATAATAATAATAATAATAATAATAATAATAATAATAATAATAATAATAATAATAATAGTAATAATAATAATAATAATAACAATAATAATAATTATTATTATAATAGTAATAATAATAATAGTAATAACAATAGTAATAATAATAGTAATAATAATAGTAATAATAATAATAGTAATAATAAAATACAGCATATGTGGCTTTATATATATATATATATATATATATATATATATATATATATATATATATATATGTATATATCATACAAAAGAAGTTTAACAATTTTCCATCTTTATATCATCAATGACGAGTATTTATTTTATAAGCTTAAGGATAAGTAATATTGTATTAAACAGTTTTTATTTTCATTAAACATTATGTAAACAAAATTTTTTCATCTTCTATATCGAACTATTTATTTCATTTGAAACGAAACCATTTTCACCACATAAATTACAACGCCTGAATAATAAAATCTACTCCACGTACAAAACATACAGCCTAGGCAGTCAATCGAAATAATACAAGAAATAAAATCGATGAAATAATAAGAGAAATAATATATACGTAGAAGAGCATTAAATGCTATTAAGCTGGTATTTTATTTAAGAAAAGTTGGACAAAATGCTCATAATAATATGCCCAACTAATTCTCAGCATTCTAGCTGTATTTAGACTATTTTAGTCAGCGTATAGTAAGAGCTCCAACAACAGCTCCTTTAAACACACGTCCTTGTCATTATAATGAATTAATACATTTTTTTTTCCTCGTAATATCATTGAAAAATATTTCCTTTCGATAAAAAATATACAATCAACGTGTCCAATGTTTTTCCTATATAAGGACACATTTTTCTACAATTGAATATGAAATACATATAACAATGTGTAAGAATACAACGTACACTACTATAAACATCATTCGACTGGTTGTTTGATAATATTGCTATTTTTAATTAAAAATATATTATCTTTAATATTTTACTCCCGTCAATTAACTGCTCGATAATCAATGGTTTATACGATCTCTTAAACTTCGCTGTGCATTATTTATCTCAAATTAAGCTTGTTAGATTCATGGAAGTGTTATAGACATGGATAATGGTGAAAACTTTAATGGCCAGTCACGATATTTTATTAAAGAAAATTTGAAGTTTTTGTATATAAATGAACTTCTTTAAAGCAATGAACGCGCGAATTTATTGAAATTATTAATCGTAAACAACTTGTTATCGTTACTTATATTTTATTTTTTCTTGTCACAGATGCCATGAAATCTATGATATATACCATGGATTATGACCTTTAAAGTCTATTGCGCATAGTGATACTCAATGTAAGAAATATTATAATTTAAAAGTCAGTAATCTGGTCGAGCGTCTTACAGACAACGTAAATTAGTTTGCTGCGTCACTGTTGGGGAACTTGACGTAGATTTATAACTTAAAAGAATCATATTCATAAGATTAATTATCTCGTAAAGCTACGAATCATAAAAACTATTATGAATAATTAGATGAAGAGAGAGAGAGAGAGAGAGAGAGAGAGAGAGAGAGATAGAAAATTTTGTTAATACCTAGAAAACTTTTACAACAAAGTTTTTACATTTAATTAATATAACGGCTACAATATCATTTGAAACGTTAAAAGTCAATATTATTTTATAGGATTTAGACTTGCTTTATTACTTTGATTTTCCTTTGATTTTCATGCCAATAAAACTTTATCTTGCTTTATCCACTTTATCCGTAAGAGTCGGCGATTATTAGAGAAAAAAAAAAAAAAAACATTATTTAAGAAAAACTTTATGCTTCGTTCAACTACTTTATTTGTTTATAATGCAAATGTATTGTTAATTATATACTTACTTTACCCATCGATAATAATAGTAATTTCAGATTACAATAGAGACAAATTAAAAAACACCCTCCGTCATAATCGACTTTCTTTCTTCCGTGTACACGCATCAGATAATCTACTCGATCCAATATATCTTTCTCGCTCTAATCACCTCAATTAACAAACATTTTAATATTTTCATAAGTATTATTAATTCCATTCGATTAAACATCCGATTTAATTTATTTCCACGTTCGCGCCGAATTCTGTAAATATATGAGTCAACGCACGGCGCACAGTCAAATGACAAAGAACACCAATCGTCTTACGGTTTTTAATTAAAATAAACAATGCATTGTACTGTATCGCAGCCAATTATAATTATTTTTTATTTATTACTTTTTATACCTTTCTTCTTCTTCTTCTTCTTCTTCTTCTTCTTCTTCTTCTTCTTTGCTTTTAGTACGCAATGAACATGCATCATAATACGTCGAAGAAGATCGTTAATAATTCAATTTTTACAAAACTACTCACGTACCGATTATTCTTCTTTTTCATTTTTCAATTTTTTCAATTTTTTCAATTTCTTGTTCGGATAAAAATCGATTTACTCAATTGACGAACGAATACGGTCGTTTGCATTTTTCAATTAAATGCGAGGTGTGCGTGCGTGAGTGCGTGGGCGCATGTCTCTGCGACTCATCGCGGCATTTATGGAAATTTCCGTAATAAATAATGCTTTCGTAGCCCAATCGGTGTGCCTTCCCATTAAAAAATCTCGGCAATACGAAAGTGCATACAAGTGTAGGAAATGAGAAACTTCATGGGCAAAGAGAGCCGTGGAGATCGATATTGCATATCGAATGCGCGAAATCTTATTAAAATTAAGGAAGAACGAAAGATCGCCCAGCGGCTCGTCTCGTCAATAATTTCCCACGATTATCTCCCGGTTCGTTTTTTCCCATTGACAGCCACACGAAGCCCAGCGTACCTACGTTCGTCAAAGCTCACAAAATTTATCCCCGCACGCGTTAACGCACGCAGGCACGCAGGCACGCACGCACGCACGCACGCACGCATACGCGCGCACGCGGCCTGCCAATTCAACACACGCGCACCAACTCGATAAAGAGTGAATACGTGGCGTCACCGACGGCGGAGTTCCGCAGCTCGGAGGGTCGATTCTTTTGGATTAGTTGTGTGCGTGCGCCCGTGGTAAGTGGTGGTGTAGCTGTTGGCTCGAATTACGCGGACTCGCGCGATTTTCTCCATCGCGGCAATAATTCGTCAGCTGACGGGAGGAACTGGACGGGCGCGCGCGTGTGCCACTCTGACTGCGAGACAGACGATATCACGAAAATGGTAAGTACCTGGGCCACGGGCCCGCCGCTCCGTCGACTCGG